ATGGGCGCATAGAAACTGACGTCAGCTCACGCATTGCAAAGGCCAGAGCTGCCTTCTTAAACCTGCGACATCTTCGGCGACAGAAGTGTTTCCCTTCGTCTGAAAGGCCGGGTATACAAGGCCACAGTGAGGGCCGTTCTGCTCTATGGTGGTGAGACTTGGCCCCTTCGGTCTGAAGATCTGAGGCGCCTTCAAGTCTTTGATCATCGTTGTCTGCGCAACGTTGATGTCCGTAGGCGAGTACTTGGTAGTGATAAACATGCTAGCTCCCTAGAACAACAGATAGCACTGACTAAGTTGCGTTGGCTCGGGCACGTGCTACGTATGCCTGATCACCGCTTACCCAGGAAGGCCTTGTTTAGTCCACCAGGTGTAGGATGGCGCAAGGTTTTGAGGTGGACAGAAGTTGACTTGACAGCGGGAAATGAAGTCACTGACGACCAAACTGGGTGCCGTTGGTCCGTCTCGCCTTCCGGGCTAGAATCCACGTGACTCGCCTTGTGCTTGGCTCGAGACTTTACAAGACATGGCTCGCAACTGACACCAGTGGTGCGTCTGCTGCCGTCTCCTAATCGGATTGCCTGTTTAAAGTGTGTTTGGTGCCGTGTCATCTGCGGGGTAATGGCTGATTATGACGTGGGGCAGTGAAAGCCGCAAGGAAGCTGTCTCGCTTATGCGACCTTATCTTTGCACGATAGCCAGCAGTTTGTGACGATATGTTGTCTACACAAGGTGTAGGCGCCTTGGCCCTGAATATTTGCTTAGGACATTATGGTTTTAAGGTAAGTGCGACTTCTCTCCCTCTTATTATTTTTTATTTTATAGGTCCTCTTGGTTGTATGGTAGGGAAGCATCAGTTCAAGCGGCTGATGTACTGCTGTTGTTGATTGTTGAATTCCATGGTCCCAATCGAGCTGCCAGTGAAGTTGACTGTTCACTGCAGCAGTATTCATCTGTTGAGGCAACTTGGTTTGTTATACAAGGGAGTGTGCAATCGTCGTGCGCTCATTTCGTATCCCTCATGTATTCGAAAGATGGACCAGTGAAGCCGCATTGGTTCGACAGAGAATACAGTCAATTGGTTCGACGGCGACGCGTATTGTGGAGTTATTTCCTCGTCTCTGTCTCTGCCGACGACTATGAGTCGTACAAATGGCAGTGGAATCGATGAAACAGTGCAAAAGCGTCGGAGGCTCGAAGAGGAGCTTGCAACCCCAGCGAAGACGGCCCCCAAGAAGATTTTTGTTTACGTGAAGCGGCGCCTGAGGCTCGCAAGTGATGTAGCTGTGTTAGGCGGCACTGACGGACAGCCTCTGACCTCCAGCACTAAACGTGTGTCCGCATTAATGGAGCAATTCGCCTCTGTATAAACAAGTGGGCATGCACCTATTCCGAGCTCAATGTGTATAGCCAATACTGAACTCGAGGGCCTGGATTGCGGTATAGTAGATGTCCGCAGTCTAGTCGCCAGTCTTTATGGCACAAACCTGCCGGATTCGATGCACTTCACTCGCTTAATATAAAGTCCTTTTCGGCTATCATCTTCGCCTGCCATAAAGGATCTATTCAACGGATTGCTGTTTAAGGGTGTATTGTCGACCGAATAGAAATGCTCGGTAGTGAAGACGATTTCAAAAGGCAGCGACCCAAGCAATGTGAACAATTACCGGTCGATTTGTCTCATCTCTGTTTTGGCGAAGGGGCTCGAGAAGATTGTGAAAAATAGTCTTCTCCAGTTGTGGGAGTCGAAAGATCTCCAAATGCCGGTACAGCACGGCTTCATGAAGAGCCGTTCATGCATCACCATCCTCCTGTTGTTGACGCGGCAGGAATGGTTGCTAGCGCTGAACCGGGGGAAGTCAGTGGATGTTATCCATATTGATTTCAGTAGAGCTTACGGTAAAGTGAAGCATTATGTCCTGCTCCACTAGCTGAGAGTGTGTGATATTGGTGACGCACTGCACCAGTGGATCAGTGACCCCCTTATTGGGAGAAGATGGCGGGTTCAAGTGGATGATCACCTAACGGAATGGTACCCGTTCACTAGCGGTGTACCCCGAAGCATAGTACTGGGGTCCATTTTATTCCTGATCCACTTCAACGAAGTACCACAGCTTCTTCGGTCGCCCTGCGTATTATTTGCAACTGACCTGAAGATTTGGTGGGTGATTGATTCACCCGGCGACTGTGACGTCCTTCTGCAGGACCTCGACCACCTATCCCGGTGATCTACGGAAGTTGATCTACCGGTCAACACGGCCAAGTCCTCGATATGAGCCTGGAGAGGGGTAGTAAGGGGATTGCGTGCACCCTGGCCCGCCACCCGCTGCATCCCATCAGTGCCATAAAGGATCTAGGCGTACTCTCACGCAGCGAGCTGAAGTCTGTCGACAACACGAACAGACTGTACGCAAACGGACTACGCCTGCTTTGGGCACTTAGACGCAGCTTCTGCACTTGATCTGAAGAGATTGCCACCCGTCTGTTCTCTTCCATGATAAGACCGGTGCTTGAGTACGGCTCACCCGCCTATCGTCCGATCACAATAGGTGAGGTGCAAAGACTGGAACGGGTCCAGCATGTAGCTACCCCGCTCATCCCTAGTTTACGGAGTGTCGTATGAGCATTGATATAGGAGACTAGGGCTTTCTACCTTGTCATATCGTCGGCTTCGAGTTGATCTCATAATGATGCACCGGATACTGCACTTGGGCCACTTCTCTATGTTCAGACTGCTGCTAGACGTTCGTCCATTAAGCAGCACACGGGGACACCGGCACAAACTAGTGGTACCGGATTCAAAACGCATCGCTCACTCTCAATGCTTCGAGCGTCGAGGGATTAAATAGTGGGACAAATTGCTGGAGACAATAGTCAAGGCGAAATAGGTGTCGGGATTTAAGAGATTTCTTGATGCCCATTTTGCGGACTACAGGTATAGGGAGCGTATCGCACTCGGATAAAAGGTAGTGTAGCCGCAATGTGCTGCCACCGCGCAGGAATCAGCGACGTGATTCCGCGCATGTGCCCGATCCACCTACGATGGAGCAACATAGATTTTTATCTTGCTCTCGCTTCTCAATATTCAAGTTGAAGCGATTACTGCCAGTCCGGCTATGCCATCTGTCATGTATCCTTAATTTTTTTGTTCTTGTTATCCATTCATTTACACCACCCACGTTGCGTACTTAATATTCATTGAACCTGTCAAGTGCTCTGGCATCTGTTTTGGTGCATCTGTATGAGTCTGCCTATTTTATTGTAACGCGTATGTGTATGTATGACTCATACATACGTTCCATTGCTACTCTATTCTTCTGCATTTTCTGGACGCAACAAGTTTGCGTCGTTTATTATTCCATTTTCAGTGAAGCGCTCATTTTTGTTATTTTCTTTGCACCCGTATTCACCGCTGAACTAGAAGTCCTGGTTTGGTTAGTTTATGATGCCTTCTTTGATTTCTGCCTCTGGAGAGCCCACATCACTAGCTGTAGACCTAGACACCACGTAGTAGCGAAGTCAGATTCGGATTCTCGTATCCAGCTGTTAATTGCCTATCTACATTAATCTTCACTTCTTTCTTAAGTCTATTTTCTTTATATTAGCTTTGCGCTTTGTATTCTACTTTTCTCACCATTGTTATTTGTTATTCTGGGGACGCGAGTTGTGTGATAACGGAAATCCACCGTAATTTTGTGCTCGTATCATAGCTGTTTGGTCTAACCAAACTTTCGAAGCACACAGTAGTCGGCGGCGGCTCCTTGTCACCTATAGCCTAAATCTTACTTGGCGCTGTAGTCTATTTTACCTCATCATTGGCCACAGCCGGTCGACACCAACTGGCGGAACGATGTCTGTTTTTAAAGTCGATGCTGTTTAGAGACGGCCATTGTTCAATACGTATTAACAGCTTACGTCCACCTTTGTCCGTTTACCAGGGATTAAGATCAGTTGCATAATGTGGATGAACTTCTTAGGCACTTGGACCATCCAATTTTGTGTTCATATGTTTCGCGACGGGAACCATACCCAATCATGTTTCACCATACCATAGTTCGCTAAGTTTGTATTTGAGTGTGTGGAGGGCTAATCTCGAACCGTATGCGTTGGATAGTTCATCCCCTTCGTTTGCACGTTGATCATCCACCTCACTTGCCGTCACCGCATCTAGTTAAAGGATGTTCCGGGTTAGACAGTCGATACTGTGTCAGAAAGGCACGATGCAGTCAACTGCGAGGCTTTGTATACCTACTGCGTGGCCTCTTCATGGATATTCGCCTCAGAATCATCCACCTCAGTAATCAAAGACTATAAGTGCCATGGCGCAGTCAAGGGATTAGTGGTGCCCCTGCATTTAGCTGTCGATATTCCAACCCTATTTATTTTCCCTTTCGTATGCTTCTAGCCTAGTATCAGTCTTATAACCGATTTCTATCGCCTTAACTGCTGTTAGCTATTGTCTTGGTGTGCGGGCCGTGACAGTCGAATCTGTTGCATTTCTTTGTTCGCACCATAGCTGTTTAGTTGCACTGAACCCAATAGCATGTATCTTTGTGGGTATAAATACTGCAGTTTTTCTGGAGGTCCGTAGGCAATCACAGACTAACATCAAAAACGGTCTACAAAATTACTTATTTTCGGCCCAAATCTTGCGGACCATTAACCCGAAATGGCTTCAACGTAAAACCCTGTTGACCAGTGAACTCGCAGGCCGTTGCGTCCCGTTAACGTACAGTCTCGTTTCAATTGTGCCTAATTAAAGTACAGCTGTACCTGCATGTTGGCATCCAGCGGACGTTACGCTTAAAGACTACTTTGCGACGTACTCCCACGTATTCCACTAGAAAGTTAACTCCACCTAGCACAACTGTTTTTACTTGATGGCCTTTCCGTGGTCTCGTGCACCTTGTTGCATCACTGCACTATATTAAACTTGTCATCACCGTTTTGGTTTTGCATGTGCATACATAGCAAAACGTTTTTTAATACGTGATCTCCAGTTCTCGGGATACTGCTACGTTGCGGATACGTGGAGATGCTGATTCTAATCAACGACCATCATTGCAGACGAAAATCACACAGAAAATGCGAGTACCCCAAAGATATGTCTTGTCTTCTAACCACACCAATAACAATACCCAGACTTCTCAGACACGGTTTGCCGCAGAGCTACGAGTACGCCTTTCAAAGTTAGCACTAGAACACGAGGCTTCGGGACCCACCGGAACTCCTCAAGAAAAGCTAGACAATACTATGGAGTCGAATATTTCGCAGTCAAATGTATACTCTTCGAGACCGTCTGTCCTTGGATCGCAGCTCCAGAAACGTGGAACTTGTCACGACTTAGGTGCACCTGAGTCGTTTCCTAGTGACCAATCACCACCCATCGTGAAACCAAGCTTTTTGACTGTCCATGAAAAACCGATTTGTCACGCGTCGGTTAACCAAGTCTGTGCCAAGGTGTCCGAGATTGTGAATTCCACAGCGTCTTTAAGTGGTGACGTATGGCAGGAGGGAGCTGCCTCTGACGAAGTCCCAGGACGGCACAACTCAGGGCCAGCTATAGAGAAAGTCGCAGCAGGCGCGGACAAACTTACATCTTCCTTTTGTGAATCAATGGGCGCGAAGAATCACCGAAAATTTCCGACTGCTACCGAATTGCCGATAACGGAAGGTGGAGATGAGTTGGATCGCTTGGAGGATGATAAACCAATGGTAGACGAAGCAGAGGCGAGTAATAACTTGACAAGTATACGGTTTTTTGAACTTTTTGACATATTATCCTCAGGAATGCTTTTTCGTAACTACCTCCCTAGTGCTTAGTCGTCAACCATGATCCCAACGCCAATTTGCGGCCGATCGAGCGTCATGTCTCGTTGCCATATTACTACAACTGGTGAGCAATGAGCGACTACTTAAAAATAAAACCAAACATATCCAGATATAATCTGAAAATTCCAGAGCTAACAAACTGCAATGCCGACTGTTTTAAATATTCGAGTAGACCAATATGCACCACTGATATCTCATATCGACGTACACAAACAGTCGTGTTCCCCATCTAAGTCTGAAGGCGTATTTTGTGTGACGAACTTTTCTCTTGCCTAATCTTGCAAGCGAAATGACTACAGATTTGCGTTGATGTAATGGAACACTTTTCTTGTTATGAATATTTTAGCCCATCGTTTACACTTTTATATGAGCATATTTCCTACTTGTGCCTTTCAACATTAAGGTACATACCATCTGATTAGAACGGTCATTCTGCAGCACTCTTCGTGCGAACGGCTTGTGACGCACAATCTTACTATGACCGTGCATGCTTGACACTATCCAACTCTTAAGGAACTAGAATGCGAACCGCGCATTTGTGCACACTGGACTTTTTCACTGTTTCTCAGTGGCATATTGTCGCCAGCTCTGGATCTATGCCTATTCGTATTGTTTTTACAAGCCTTACTTCGAGATACCATTTTCTTGAGTACACTATAGTTTAGATGGTCAGCTTTTTCGTGGGCCAAAGCGGGACGCTTTACTTTCATGCAATAACAAAGAGTACTTACGCCGTTAGTCAATACAATGGCAGGGCTACTGAAGTTAATGTGCTGCTGCTGTGGTTCCAGAACCACAGTTATAGAGCAATACTTCTTAGATGAACATATTTTCCATAGTAGATCTGGGTGCTGCATCAGCATGTCATGAAATCATTCACAGGGATACCAGGTGCTCTTGTTCTCAGGGGTAGAAATTGCTGCCGCAGACTCTGCTACCTTAGGGCGATCCGATTTTATGTGCTTTGTAAAATCTGATCTGCCACCATGAGCAGTAGGAAATTCGTATTTGCATGTGTCACATTGAACATGCGAATCGTTATCGTGTGTTGCTTTCTTAATGAATGGAAAATCGCTCTCCAATTGAGTAGTTATCTTACACGTTCGTTTAGAGATGATGTTCCCATCTAACTAAAGACAGGTGTCCTTCATTAAAGACGTAACAATTGCAGCATTGCTTTTATTCCCTCCTTTTCTGTTGTCATAAGATTCTTGCCGTGTTGCCCGTCCACGCAGTCAACTATCCCACCCAACTCATACCCACCCACTTATTTTGGTCTTATGGTGTGCACGCACCACCACTGATTGGTTTCGGATTTTTTTTTGCCCTTATTCAATGTGCTCAAAGGGGGACATTCTGAGGTCTCCGACCTCCAAGCTTCCCGCCCAACACTCCTAAAAAAGCCAGACGACAGTTTGAAATACGGACTGTCTTGCCTAAATCGTTACGTGTGGCCACCTTAACTATAGTGCATCTTACATTTACCTGGATTTGTTTGCTCTGAGTAGTGCTTCACCTATACCCACGTGCAAAGGTTGCACAATTTCAAATTTTATACTCCAAGTTTAGTCTCACTTGACAAAGCATTTCAATAGCATTCGAGAAAGATCTGACTCGTTCCAGTCCAAAACTGCTTAGATCAGCTGCAGAATAATTCATCTTTTCCCAGCAGCAAACCTCAATCGGCATCTAGGCAAATCCGTCTTGTGGTCAGTAGACTAAGTCACGTAGCTCCATTAAACACACCACCGTCGGACTACATCACACGCAGCTGCAATATGCCTACACGACAGCGAAGGTTTAGAGACATCGTCCCCCGTCACCGCGTGATTTTGACCTCTACTCGCGGACGTGACTCGACGTGTGTACATTCTTAGAACAGCAACATGTATCAGCCCCACCGCCAACTTGGGATACAGCGTTTGGATCCGGACTACTCGTGTAGACATTGACGATCACAATGGCACTCACTGATTGCCCACGGAAAGCTAGGTCTAAAGCTTCATAATAAAGCGTTCATTGTGGCGCAGAAAGTTGCGTTAAACTTGTGCGATTTAGACTAGAATGCACCAAAAGCCATAAAAATTCCATCCTAGATCTTTTCGCCGTAGACTCATCGAGATAAAAAAGCACTTAATAACAAGATTGATTCCTTCTGTCTCTGCACTCAGTGTATGGCTATTTCACTCAGCAGATGTATAGCTGTGTTACCACAGTAGCGCGACAGACTGACAAAGATTGTTGCGCAAGCAGCCGCCGTGAGAGCTATCCCACAGAGACCAGACAAATCACTGCCTCTAATTCGATGCTCAACACCAAACTTTAATTCAGAACAGTGTACCAGACCGAAGATGAGTGCAACGATCCAGATTTAGCCACCTCGTTACTAGCATATGGGCAGAAAGATGCGTACGCCACAGATTCTTCATCACAGCCACGCGCCACATCCAGTACTGATAGGCGACCGACAACTTACACGTTCGTTATTGCTACCTACTTGGCAGAAGCACCTCTCATCGTGACCTCGCCCCCTGCTAAACTAGGTTCAGCCAATACTACCAATACCATCACAGGACCCAAGAACCCATCGGTTGTCCAACCCAAGGATGCAGCCACACGTCCCTCCAAAACGGAGAACAGCTGAAAAAATCATAATGCTCTAACTGTACTTTGCTGCAATGTGACTGAATCCGGGGCGAACTCCATAAAAGATAAGCTACTACTGATTACTGTGAAGAGAGTGCGCGATAAAAATCTGTTGCTCCATCGTAGGTGGATCGGGCACATGCGCGGAATCACGTCGCTGATTCCTGCGCGGTGGCAGCATATTGCGGCTACACTACCTTTTATCCGAGTGCGATACGCTCCCTATACCTGTAGTCCGCAAAATGAGCGTCAAGAAATCTCTTAAATCCCGACACCTATTTCGCCTTGACTATTGTCTCCAGCAATTTGTCCCCCTATTTAATCCCTCGACGCTCGAAGCATTGAGAGTGAACGATGCACTTTGAATCCTGTACCACTAGTTTGTGCCGGTGTCCCCGTGTGCTGCTTAGTGGATGAACGTCCAGCAGCGGTCTGAACATAGAGAAGTGGCCCAAGTGCAGTATCCGGTGCATCATTATGAGATCAACTCGAAGCCGACGATATGACAAGGTAGAAAGCCCTAGTCTCCTATATCAATGCTCATACGACACCCCGTAAACTAGGGATGAGCGGGGTAGCTACATGCTGGACCCGTTCCAGTCTTTGCACCTCACCTATTGTGATCGGACGATAGGCGGGCGAGCCGTACTCAAGCACCGGTCTTATCATGGAAGAGAACAGACGGGTGGCAATCTCTTCCGACCAAGTGCAGAAGCTGCGTCTAAGTGCCCAAAGCAGGCGTAGTCCGTTTGCGTACAGTCTGTTCGTGTTGTCGACAGACTTCAGCTCGCTGCGTGAGAGTACGCCTAGATCCTTTATGGCACTGATGGGATGCAGCGGGTGGCGGGCCAGGGTGCACGCAATCCCCTTACTACCCCTCTCCAGGCTCATATCGAGGACTTGGCCATGTTGACCGGTAGATAAACTTCTGTAGATCACCTGGATAGGTGGTCGAGCTCCTGCTGAAGGACGTCACAGTCGCCAGGTGAATCAATAACCCACCAAATCTTCAGGTCAGTTGCAAATAATACGCAGGGCGACCGAAGAAGCTGTGGTACTTCGTTGAAGTGGATCAGGAATAAAATGGACCCCAGTACTATGCCTCGGGGTACACCGCTAGTGAACGGGTACCATTTCGTTAGGTGATCATCCACTTGAACCCGCCATCTTCTCCCAATAAGGGGGTCACTGATCCACTGGTGCAGTGCGTCACCAACATCACACACCCTCAGCTAGTGGAGCAGGACATAATGCTTCACTTTACCGTAAGCTCTACTGAAATCAATATGGATAACATCCACTGACTTCCCCCGGTTCAGCGCTAGCAACCATTCCTGCCGCGTCAACAACAGGAGGATGGTGATGCATGAACGGCTCTTCATGAAGCCGTGCTGTACCGGCATTTGGAGATCTTTCGACTCCCACAACTGGAGAAGACTATTTTTCACAATCTTCTCGAGCCCCTTCGCCAAAACAGAGATGAGACAAATCGGCCGGTAATTGTTCACATTGCTTGGGTCGCTGCCTTTTGAAATCGTCTTCACTACCGAGCATTTCTATTCGGTCGACAATACACCCTTAAACAGCGATCCGTTGAATAGATCCTTTATGGCAGGCGAGATGATAGCCGAAAAGGACTTTATATTAAGCGAGTGAAGTGCATCGAATCCGGCAGGTTTGGGCCATAAAGACTGGCGACTAGACTGCGGACATCTACTATACCGCAATCCAGGCCCTCGAGTTCAGTATTGGCTGTACACGTTGAGCTCGGAATAGGTGCATGCCCACTTGTTTATACAGAGGCGAATTGCTCCATTAATGCGGACACACGTTTAGTGCTGGAGGTCAGAGGCTGTCTGTCAGTGTCGCCTAACACAGCTACATCACTTGCGAGCCTCAGGCGCCGCTTCACGTAAACAAAAATCTTCTTGGGGGCCGTCTTCGCTGGGGTTGCAAGCTCCTCTTCGAACTTCCGACGCTTTCGCGCTTTTTCAGTGTTTTATAGATTCCGCTGCCATTTGTACGACTCATAATCGTCGGCAGCGACAGAGACGAGGAAATAACTCCACAATACGCGTCGCCGTCGAACCAATTGACTGTATTCTCTGTCGAACCAATGCGGCTTCACTGGTCCATCTTTCGAATACATGAGGGATACGAAATGAGCGCACGACGATTGCACACCCCCTTGTATAACGGACCAAGTTGCTTCAACAGACGAATACTGCTGCAGTGACCAGTCCACTTCACTG